TCATGCTGCTGTTCCTGCTCATGCTGCTGTTCCTGCTCATGCTGCTGTTCCTGCTCATGCTGCTCATGCTGCTCATGCTGCTGATGCATGCTTTCTTCTTCTTTTCCTTCTTCTATGGTCTCCTCCCTACTCGCGTTTGCCTCTGTATTTGTCTGGCTGCCCAACGAGTGCTCTGGCGTTTTTGTTGGTGTGTCTTCGCGGGCGTTCTCCTCTGCTTCCTCCTCTTCTGCGGTCTTCATTTCGCGGAGCTTCTCTTCTTCATCTTCCCCTTTCTCTTCATCTCCTGGCTGGCCAGAAATATTCTCTGTAGCAGTTTCTCTTGAATTCACCAGCTCCTCCAAAGGAGGAAAAGTCAAAGTAAAGGCCTTTGCGTTAGCCTCAATATACTGTTGGCCGATCTTGTAGAACACCTCAACAGGCACAGGAAGCGGCACGGCGCCGCCTGTTAGGGCAGTCACCAGCTCCTTTAGAGAGGAAATCTCTCGCTGACGAGAACTGAAAAAGAGAGAAGTACAGAGAAAAGATCATCGCAACTGTCATAACCTGTTCTGCTGCAAGTGGCCATAAATTGATTTGCAGCTACATACATAATGTAATGATACAACAACAACGTCCTCTTATTTCGGGTAAAAGTTAGATAGCTTTCTCCCGATATCAAAGAATAAACAGAGGTCTCTAGCTCTAGCACAAAAATAGACGACAGGAGCCCACCTGATTTCTTCTTGAAGGCGTTGCTGTTTATCTGAAGCACCAGAACCACACCGCATGCACTGCTGCAATGCAAAAGACGCCCCAAGGTGCTAGTGGTGAACAAACCCATGAGGTCAAGGAGAAACGCAAAGCGTATATTGCACGAAAAACAGTGCAGAGGTTCTGCCACGCACCGATCAATGCGTCGATACTAAGCTCTTGAGGGGTTTTTTTAGAGTCCGCATGAGGCACCGCATCCTTCGCCAGCTTAACTAATTAGCCGCAGGAGAAGCGAAAGACAACAACAGCAGACAGTTGGCAATAAAACGTCAATCAAAGGGGCAAACAAGCACGAAACGGTGACAACGGAAAAAGCGCAAAAGGAAGAGGCGAGTAAAAGAGATCCACGAAGAAAGGGTCCCCACACTGTACACTCATGCGTCATACTCACCACTCTTTGCTTTCTTTTTGATGCCAGCACGCCTCTCTTGTGCTGGCGCGAGCTTAGAATCCGCCGATTTGCGCTCAGCTTTCACCTTCTTGCCAGGGAGTTTGGCCGCCCCTCCCTGATCGCGCCTGCCTAAAGGATTAAATGCAGAAGCAAGACACATGACACCGCCGAATGAAGGAGCAGTAGCTGATTTGTCAGCGTGTTTTGCTGCACTGTAGCAGCAAACGGTGACGATGGAGGGCTTCTAAACAAGAAATGAGAGCAGGCTGCTTTACTAGGCCTCCTGTCTACTTCTCGTCTGAAAGCTGTATTGCCGTATACACTCCCTGCAGCCCCCAGCTACTGTTCATATCAATGAGTAAAGCAGCTCACGAGGTTTCGCTGGAGTTGCCATTGTTGTCCGTAGTGTGCAGTGGTAGTAGACAGCATACGCTCAGCTGACGCCCAGCCTTAGACCTCAATGTATGGCTCCTCCTCCTTCAGTTGGTGTCTAGGTAGGGATTGTCTGTTGAAGGGAAAAAGCAGCAGTAATGATGAATGGAGTTACGGGGCTTCGATTTCAGCGTCCTGCCTAACGGGCACACTGGCGACCCCAAGTAGACAGTAAAAGAAAAGACGCCTCCAGCTTTTTAAACACCTAGTTAATTATCAACAACAATCACTAGAAAAAAACAGTATAAAGAGGCTTTTATGCAGTAAAGAGACAGTTTAGTTAGTCGGGTGTGGAGGCTCAGCACGCGCCTTCCTTCCTCAGTCTCTTTGCGAGTGAATGGCCCATTGATATATATACAGGGAAGAATATAAACCTTCTTTATGTATTGGCATTAACGTTACTGTGCAAAGATATCCGTGAAGCCACCAAAAGAGGCTGAAGCGCACGCGGGGGCTTGCCAGCTGTCAAAAGCCTGCGTTCACGTTTCGTGACCATTGGATATGGAATTCTCCGCATGAATAGGGAGCAACGCAGACAAGCAACATGCCCTTATACAATTCTTTACTTATCATTTATAACGCTAAATTTGCTTTAAAGTAGGTACCAGCCTAGCGCTTAGGAGGCGTTTCCTCCGTTTTGGGGTTGCGCCCCCTGCCGCTTTCGGCACACGACGACGTTGGTGATGTGGTGAAACCTGCAGAAGGTATTTCACTTCGAAGTTGTAGAATCAAATAGGCGGTTCGACAGCTTCATATATCTACAAAAGCAGAACAGGCCAGCAGGAAGTAGGGCTCCTCGTGGCACTACAACGAGTCTGGTTGCCAGGGAAAGTATGCCGGTTGCATGCAAGGGAAGATTTGCACAGGACATTGATGGTCTAAATCGAGATCCAGCCTGCGCAGTGAGGAATAAAAACACAAGGGTTTCAGTAGTGCAGCTGTACGTTTGTTTGTTTAGCATGTAATCCAGCGGCAACAGTAAGTGATGCCATTTAATGAATAGGAGAATGGCGCAGACAGTAATGGAAATTAATCAGTGGCATAATCAGTAGATGGAGACGTTTTCTTACGTGGGTTGAACTTGAATGGCGTGACGGGGACGAAGTAGTATCGTTCTTCTTGCAAATACTCTACGTTTGCGGTGGCCATTCAAGGGCGTCGAAATTCAATGACAATACTGAAGGGCAAATAACCGATTGATCGGCACCTGCTAGAAGCGCAGTTTGTCCAATTCTTCAGATCGAGTTGAGGCGGTTTACTCTTGAAGCGGTTTCAGCTCTTAGGTAGCACGCTCTTGCATTTAACGCTTCGGGCAGCTGTTCTTATTAAGCTTCCCGAGTTGTTTGATGGACCACTCAGCAGTCTACAGCATTTTCTACTCGCTATTTATTATGGTAACTTCGTTCTGCCCAGAAGCACAGCTCTAAATCCTTTAGGTTTGGCTTTTCTTAATGCCCTTTGTCTGTCCTTCCCATCAGCATCTTGGAGTTTCACGGGCTTACGGGACAAGGAGGGTCGCTGTAAAAATGACAGGAGGCATTAGCTGAGAAGTTCACTGTTGTTACCTGGCCCTTTCCCTCTCCTTTTGGCTGCCTTACTGGCTTTTCTGACTCCTGCAGCACCAGTCCCAGACCTTTGGGCTGCCGTGTAACTGGAAGCCTCGGGATTGGAGAGGAGCTCTGCTGCCTTTGGGGAACAGTTCTTCCATGTATTTTAGCTCGCTTGCACCTCATGAGTGTAACGGGATAAGTTTTCGGACTCTCATTACACTTGGCCGCACTGCATGGCCCATCGGGGATGGTAAGAAAAACAAACCCCACATCAACAGAAGGACGGCCTGGAGCATAGCAGTGTCCAATACGGAAGGTGATTTAAACGCCCCCCAAAATATTTTCCAGAGTGTCGATCAGCCCTCTCCCATTCTTGTATCATGGATATTGATCCGGATCTTCCCTTTGTTGGGGAATCGAAACGGCTAGGAATATCTTTGAAATCGGCACATGCACAGGGCCTCCATCCACTCCAGCTGAGCATGCCTCTACATCAAAAGCAGTCATATAAGAATGCCACCGCCTTTGCCGAGTGTCTAGATATGACCGGCACCACGACGGAGGGAACGTGAAGAAGACACCGCTTCTGTCGAGTTGTACTTTCGTCGTTAAAATGCACCTGACGACCTACAGTTGCTATTCACATTTTCTCTAGAAAAATGGAGACACGTGAATGCTGGTTGCATCTACGCAAATGTATTGCTTTCTCGGAATGCATCCAGACTATGGAAGCCTTTCAACGTGCACTGCGATTGATGCTTATCCCCATTTCAGCAAGGGAACAGGCTATGGCAACAAAAGCCAGCCCCAGCCAGAAAAAAGTAAGAAGCGATAACGGGCGGCACCTGGCGGTATTGGCACTCAGAAAGCAAGGGGGACGTACCAAGGGGAGCACCTGCACCTGCTGCTTTTGCAGTACACAAGGCCACATAATTGGGGGTTGCACAAGCATGAAAAAAGGCGACGGGGGAACGAAGATTCCGGGCAGCACCATCAAGGAACTAAAGCAAAGGTTCAAGGAAACGCCCTATCTTAAACTCGGCGTGTGGCGTAGTGTCGGAGCCAAAGTAAGTGGCAGCCGCGCCTGCACACCTGGAGTCGAGTCTGTGCGTTTCCAACTCCGTATTGATGGTGTGGAGTTGTTTGGCCTACACGACAGACGCGGCGAAGCGGATCTGATATTTGAAGTTTCGATCAGTGTGTGGAACCTATTAGTCTTTAAGTTGTAGCATTTTTGGCGACTACGTTTTTGCAGTCTCAGCTACTACGTTCCCCGGATGAGGACCAGGACACGAGATTTGGTAAAACTATGGGTGTAAAATGCGCGGTCGATAGAGCAAGGGATCATACTGCCATGATACGGGACTTTTTATCTTGGTGGCCTACGGGAGGATGCACACTCGACCCTCCAAACGAGATTGTGGAGGTCCATATTCGGTGAAGCGCTGAGAGAGTGCACCTCCGTACTCACAGTGGCATTTGCATCCACGTTGTCAAAAGGAGTGGAAGTACTGTTCCAAAGAAAAAGGAGAGCGTAGGTTCCAATGCAAGGCAGAGGTCCTGGAGGAGTCGACAGAAAAATGCATGCCCTCCCTCGTGATGATCTTGCGACGACCGCCACTTTGGGGGGATTCGGTCAACAAAGAACCCGACGAAAAGATTAACTGGGCATTAGGTCAGACGCCCTGATATTAAGCATTCTGAATGCATTGCAGCCCATGGCGATTCGTGAATACAGTCGAGGACACGTTACAGTTTCGTTTTCCTCCCGATAGGCAAGTGGAGCTCATTCAGGTAAAAGGGTTCTTTTAAGGAAACGCTTCATTTCCTGCACATCTGGGATCCCGTGGCTAAGGCTAGGGAGTTTCGTCATGCGACGCTTCCTTGTTCCCTTATTTACTGTTTAGTGAGTGCTGTCCCCTGAAGAGACGAGGAAAGCCTCGAGACAGTCACGTAGCAATTTAGCAAATAACCAAGCAAATGAAGGAATCATTTTATTATTATATTTATCTCTATTATTAAAACAAAGAGAGCGATTAAGATTGCTGCAACATCCGTCGCTCTCTCCGTGTCGCTATTTCATTCGCCTGGGTACTCCCAAACTAACAGGCACTAATCAGGTTAGGGAAACACCCCGAGAAATAGATGAATTCGGTCCTTTAAAAGTCCCTCACATCTAAAAGTACCAAACGTTTGAATGGAAAGTCGCAATAATTGGCTTTTTGAGTAAAATGGCATTTAGGGGGACGGCGGGGAGGGGAGGCATCAAACCTCTGCCCAACAGACGGAAGGCGAGACGCCCATTAATTAAAGGGCAATAACTTTCATTTACAAAATGAATTATTTAAGGGTATTATTAATTTATGAAACGGAAAAATACAGCCCGCACCATCTAATACAGCATTCCGAAAACTCGGCTCTTCTTCATGAGGGCGCCTGCAGAGGAGCTGAATGAATGGCGCGTTATGGTGGAAAGGGGCGTTTAATCCACAGATATGCTCCCCGCATTGCAAACATCAAACTTTTTTTTTAACAAATTAAAAACATGTTTCTCCAGTGCTCAAATGATCCTGTAACTATGGGGTTGGCGCTGTGTGGCCGGCTTGTCGTCGCTGTGCAGTTAACGACGAAACAGCTAGATTATTTGTGGTAAGTATAAACGGGGTTAAATAAGTTGAAATGCATTGATTTAATAGAAGGATGCTAGCGGTTTAAGGAGAAGAAGGGGAGCGACGGGTCGATCAACTGTTAGGAGGTACGTTGCTGTTTGTTCCCCACAACATCAGGTGCTGCTGTTCTGCACTCAGGCCAGCGTTTGGTTCGCTGCAGCATTTGATGTATTCGAGGGCATGTTGTTTCTGTACTAGCTGCCGTTTGTTTGGTTTTCCTTTAGTTTTGATTAGTCTGGCGAAGCACTTCTTCGCGTTTTGTTCCTTTTGGCTCTCATTCTTCTCCTCCCCTTGCGGTCGTCGTCGTGAGCAGGATGAGGCTTGCGGTGGGCGTCGTAGCCCTCGTGGCGGCTTTGCAATGCTGCTGTTTGGGCACGTTTGCCGAGCCTGAAAGTCTGCTGGATGTGGCAGCTAAAAAGGCAGTAGAGGAGAGTGTCGGAGTCCCTGTAGGGGAGGCGTGGAAAGACATATATGATGCCCTTGTGCGCAAGCGGGGATCGAAGCTCTTTAAGTATTTGCGCTTCTGGGTAAGTACTTCAGTTGGTAGTTCCCCGCATGTTTTCCCTTTTCACGTATGTTTTTTTGTGGAGTATTTGTCTCTTTGGGTCGATTGAATGCTGTGCGTGCCTCTGAACTTTGCGGTGTGTGCGCAGATCGCAGGCGTGACAGGGCAGAGCGACCCTTGGACCCTGGCAAAGCACATTATGGATAACTTGAAAAGAGACGTTTTCCAAGGCCGTGTGAACAAAGAGACGTGGGAGTGGCTAACGGTTGAGCTTTTCAATATCCTCAGCGAGTGGTGGAAGAATACCCCGGAGAACCCCCGCGACGCAGCAGATGTCGGCACGTGGCAATCCCTGTTGAGACTGCATAAAGACGTTATGGGCCCCTCCCTACGAGGCAGCAACCGTGTCGGTGCCGTCAACGATTTACTGCTGGACCCCGATCTCACGACTCTGCGTCGCTGGGTTAACCAGTGGAAGGGTATGCCGGTTACTCAACCAGAGAAAGCAGCAGAGGGGGGCACTGGAAGCAAGACGGGAGGCGATAGCTGACGTTGAACTTGTTCTTTATCTCGCGATGCGAGAAGCAAGGGGTACTCTTCGTGTTTAAAGGGCAGCAGCAGGTCTTTCGTTTCAAAGCAACGCACGCAGCTCAAGATTGCCTGCTGCCAGCCTGTCTGCATAGCAGCGGCGTCTGGAAGGCACGCGGCTAATAGGAATTAAAGTATTCTCTTTTAATCGGGCGGGCTGTAGGCGTTCGTAATTCATGCGGTGTACTTCACTCCCCCATCAGCGGCTGTGAATTTATCTCGACGTTGGTTTTTAAGCTGAGGGGGTTCAAGGAGGAAGCGCCCCTGTATGCATGCAATAGAATGTTCTTCTAGACAGCCCCCAGGTCCTGCAGGCGCAGCAGATATATGAACGAGATGAAGTGCCTTTGGCCGTCTTGGACTTGGGAGGGGCTTGGGCGTTCTTTGTGTATATTACGCATACACGTTTCCTAGGTATGCTTGTGTATATAAATATGGATATCGTTAGTATTTATTTATATATGCATTGTGTCATATTTAGGCGCAACACCCAACCACCAGCGCGAGCAAAACTAGAAGGGACGGCCACATGGCTGAAACATGCACTGCATAGGGTTTGCATGCAAAGAAACAGCAGCAGTGGGGAGACAGCGCTTTACTGCGCTGTACGACTCAGCGGTTGGAGGGGGCCCACAACGTAACAGGCGGTGCACACACCACGACACAGCGGGCGGTAGTAGCATTAGGCTTAATATGAAGAACGCTGTAAAATGGAGAAGACACTCGCAACAGCTGCACCTCTGCATGCAGAGATGGGTTTAGCTTTGTAAAAGGGGTTTTTTTCCCCCTTTAAGGCGGGGCCGGTAGTGGGGTGGAGCTCCGTTGAGGGGCTTCATCACCTCCTGCCTCTCTCGCTGCTATATGCCCTCAGCTGACAGGTGGATGAGCTTGTTGACTGTCTGTGAACCTCTAGCAACTCTCGCGAGAATATCTAATAGTGATGCTGCATTTTTTGATGTTTCTCTGGGGGGAGCTCACGGTTTAGGAATAAGGGGGTTTGCTGGTAGAGTGCCGTTATACCTCTAGAATTAGTGACGGTAGTGCACCCTTATAACTGCCTGTCTGCGAAGCTGTTTCTCGGCTCATAGGATGCGAAAGAAATGATAGCGTCATTTGCGTTTAACACCTGCAGGGTAGTTAAGGTGGGTGTAGGTTTTCTGTAGGCCTCTACCAACCGTCGATCTGCACCACAGACGTGGTAACGCTGCCTCTCACTGGACTTAAGCATTAAGAACTAACAACGGGAGTTTAAGATGCAATTTTTCTCCTACTTAATGATCGTCGATGCGCCTTAGGAAATAGGGATGCTGTCTGCTGGGAGCCTTCGACAGTTCAGGACTATAAGGAAACAATGTTGAAATAATAATAATGGCTGTTGAGTGCATTGAAGTTGCAGTTTCCTTCATCTAATAGGGGCACGGTCTCCTCTCGTTTGAATTCACTCGACCCTCGGGTGTTCATCGCCTAATTAGCAGAGAAGTTCAGTTCATTCATTCTGAAAATATGCAGTAAGTATATCAGTGTTGAGAGGTAAAAAGACATATAACAACATATTTCGCTTTGCTCTCGATACACCTGGTGGACCACTGCTACAAAGCGCCAGCCCGAGCGGCAGGGGGCCGTTCGTTCAGGAGTTTGCCCCTGATTGCATATTTGCTGTTAATTTATATTTTCCGTCGTTTTGTTCCATTATCTTTCATAATTTGATTGTATATTGCACTAGTTCTCAGTTGCAGCGCTTTGACTGCTGCATGAAACGCGCCCGCCGGTTTCTGCAATCCTGCTCCGGCGGTTTCGCCTTCCTTCGCCAGCTTTTGCCTCAGGAGTGGCAGCAGCAGTTGAAACCTCGGAAGTAAATTAGAAAACAAAATTTAATTCTTTTAATAAGGAATAAATTTCCTTCTTTGAACGCCTGACACGCAACTGCAACAGCACAAAACCCTCAGACAATAATCATGCATCGGCTGCAGGCGATTTCAACTCACGTTTCGCAGGCGTTGACGTGAGTTTTTGAATTTCCAAAATTAAACGCGTAGGATCGAAGTGTGTGTGCACCAGAGTGCAGTGAAGTGTTTAAACTCACAAGAGCGAATGCCTGTCTGTCGTCTCAGTGGACTTCTTTACTTCGTGTACAGAACCACCTGCTGAAATCAATCAGAATTTCCCCCTCTCTGTCACACTGCTGCAGAGGCTCCAACTCGGGAGCACCTGACGACGTCGTAATTTGCTGCGCTATACGGACCCCATTGACGAAGGCAAAGCGGGGAGGTCCGTCCAGTTTTGGTATCTTTTGTACAGATGTTCTGCTCTGCAATGCCGCCTCATCCAGCCTTTTAACCCTGCATCATCCAATTAATAGCAGACATAGACAAAGGGTTTGGTGTTGCCTTAAGACAGAACCAAACTGCAGTGAAACCCAGCGTGTGTTCCAACTGCCATTGTCTTTTGTTATGGTATCTTCTTCTGATTGCCTCTCTGTCTTTGTCTTTGTCTTTGTCTTTGCTTCTCTCTCTCTGTGTGTGTGCGTGTTTTTTTTATTGGTATTTGTTTGTGTTTGTGTTTGTGTTGTAAAGGGCTTAAAGATGAATACCCCGAGACGCTGTTGTGTACTCTGTTTGAGGCCCTTCTCACTCGGACGAAAATAAAACCCAGCCTGATTGAAGATGTCTGCATTGGTGAGGAGCATCGCTTCATGCCTTCTGGTGTCTGTGCATACAGCTGACCGCACACACACGCACATATATATAAATGTGTATATATATATAAACATAAATACAAATGCATGTTCACACATGGATACACAGGCGTAAACAGCCTGAGCTGCTGATTGATATTTGCTGCATTTGTTTGCGTTTATTTTCGCTATTGTTATTTCTAGGCAACGTTCTCCAGCCTGGGGCGGGAGCCCTCGGGGCACGAATTGCGGCTCTATTAGGAGGCCTTCCTCTCAGCACGTCCGTGCACACAGTGAATAGACAATGCAGCAGCGGGCTGCAGGCAGTGGCGGCGATAGCAGGTAAGAACAAGACGCGAGAGAGGGAGGGAGGCTCGTCAGTTGCGTTCCCCTTGTTTATAACAATTAAACAGGATGGACAACGCTTGCATCCTAGTTTCAGTGTTTTGTTGTTGTTTTTGTTTTTATTTTCTGTTGTTTGGTGCTGTTTTTGCTGGCGTAGGGTCTATTGCCGCAGGAAACATCGATATTGGTGTTGCTGGGGGAGTGGAGTCGATGACGCACTTTGAAATGACCTCCGCCTTAAATCCAGAGAAGGTTGCAGATAAAGTATTTGAAGACGAAATTGCTAGAAATTGTCTTCTGCCCATGGGGACAACGTCAGACGTGAGTTGAACACCGCACCCAGATTGCAGCGTCTGTACAGCAGCTGCAGCTGCAGCTGCTTTTCTCAATTGCTGCTTCTTTTTGTGCTTTGCCTGGATACAAGTATATGCGCCTGGCGTTCTGTTTGCAAGCAGATCCTGGCTAGGCGCTTCGGGGTCTCAAGAGAAGAACAAGATGCTTTTGCTGTGGAGTCTCATTCAAAAGCATGGGCAGCGCAGACGGCTGGCCGCTTCAATGAAGAAATTGTGCCCGTCACAGTGAAGGTAAAAATATATGCATATATATATATATATATATATATATATAACGCCTCCTGTCCCCTCCATGCAGGAAGCTATGGCAACAGCTGGACATACACTGCAAATGTCTAAGCCAGGAAGCAAGAAAAGTAACACTTGAAAGAGCCGCCTTGAGAGCAGGCGAGGGCGGAAGAGAAGAAGGTTGGTGAAGTGCAGTTTGCGCATAGGGTTTTGTCTGCTCGTTTGCAGAAAAAAGATGCAAACGGAAACGAAATTACTGTTGCGATCGAGAAGGATGACGGCATAAGAGAGGGGACCACCATGGCAGCGCTGCAGAGACTGAAACCAGCGTTCGACAAGGGGGGAACAACAACAGCAGGCGAGTCTGCCTTTTGCATTCTCTTCTTTTCACTCTTGTGAGCGCTTAAGGAAGCTCTTGCTGCTGTCGTCGTTCTAAAGCTTATACACGTCTCGCTTGGGGTGTACGTACACAGGAAACAGCAGTCAAGTGACAGACGGTGCTGCTCTTGTCTTGCTCGCGAGGAGATCTGCTGCGTTGAAACTTCAACTGCCGATCTTAGCTCGCTTTGTTTCTTTTGCTGTCGCCGGTGTCGACCCAGAGGTGATGGGCGTAGGCCCAGCTGTAGCCATCCCCAAAGCCCTTGGTGAGGGAGAGAGGAAAGGCGGCAGAACAAATAATTTAGTAGACAATAAATTGTCTTGTTCATTGCTTGTATAACTGCATGCGTTCAGATATCTTGTCGCTCGTTCTTTGCTGAGTGCTTGCGCCTAGTATGCCCGCGTTTATGTGTCTTCTATTTGATGATTATTTTATTATTTCTATCGTTTCTTTGTCTCCATTTTAATCTCCTTCTTTCTAACTCGCTGGCTACATATGGCCAACGAAACTGCCTCAGCATGAGTTCAATTTATTACAAAACGCATTATATTCGCTCTATATAATGCATTTCTTTTGATGTATTTTTGTTTGCACATTGCTGCAGAGAAGGCCGGAATCAGCATGGAAGACGTCTCAGTTTTTGAGTTAAACGAAGCCTTTGCTTCTCAGGTCGTCTACTGCGTCAAGACTCTGGGGCTGCCTCGCGATAAACTAAATCCTAATGGTGAGCTGAGAGGCCAATTGGCCTCGGTGTGTTGTCTATACACCTCGCGACCACTTCGCTGCCATCCGTCTTCCCTGGGGCCCCAGCAGTTTATTTATTTACAGCTTCTGCCCATCGATGAACATCGCCGAACTCCTTGCATGCAAACTTTCATTCATTAATTAAAGACAATTATTGTTACCATTTTTACGCATTTATTTATAAAATCTTAATTCAGAAGAATAAGTCATTCGCGGGTGTCAACAAGTATCCGATATATATATATATATATATATATATATATATATAATGCAGATAGACATTTCTGCTACTGCATCTGTTCTTGATATCTTCATGTTTGTTTTGTTCTGCTTCTTTTCAGGGGGTGCCATAGCCTTGGGTCATCCTTTGGGTTGTACGGGGGCTCGCCAAATCGCGACGCTGCTGCCGGAGCTGCGGCGACGGAAGGGCCGCTTTGGGGTCGTTTCGATGTGCATAGGAACGGGGATGGGGGCTGCCGCCGTCATCGAGAACTTGATGCTGTAATCAGCGCAAAGGTTTTACCTTCTCGCTTCTTTTTTCTGTCTTTTAAGGGCAATATGGCTCAGGCCGATGTGTGAACGGACTGCTGCCGGGTTATAGGATGTATTATTTTTGCTACGCCTTGCGTATAAAACAATACTATAAAACTGGTGGCAGCAGCCGTTTCCGAGCTTTAAGTCTTTGTATGGTGTTGCTGCAGTGAATAGACTGCACGGCTGCGCAGATCACCGCACACACCGCATCACCAGATGCAGTTGAAATTCAGATGCTTTAAAAGTAGCAAACTCACAAGCAGAGGTCCCTCCTAGACGTGCATTGCATGAGCGGTGTATGCACACCCTAAGGTTCCTCAGTGCGCTTCTCTTGTCTAGAAAGAGGCAAAAACATCTGAATCCTCTCTTAACTATTAACTATCCTGGTGCTGCGCCTGGTGTTTTTGTTGGCATTTACGTAGTACACCTGAGACTACAAATGTAACAGCCTTCAACTCCATCTGATGTCGCAGTGTTGGCGAGGTAGAGAGGCAGCACGGCCTGTTTAGGCTCACCTTTGTACTCAAGTGCGGTGATATAGCTGGCCGCTGGGCCGTAAAAGCATTGTAGGCAAGAAGACAGCGTTCGATGGGGTGTCTCGACAGCTGCCACGGACTCTAACTCGTGCAGTCAAAGAAAATGGTCTCAACAGTCTAAGAAGCTGCGAACAGAGACTATGGAATGGCGGGAGCTGACAAACAGACAGCTATCAAAGCACTTGTAACTAAACGAACTTATGCCGCCCCTCCCTGCATTCAAACGAAGAAGGAAACCGTGAGACAGAACAAAGGCTCTGTGCTGTGCAGCGAGCAGTAGCTGTAAGCCTATTAGGCTCAGTAATGCATTCAAGTTGTGACTGAAATCGTCTGAGATAAAGTTGGGGTTGCAGTTGCAGAACGTAAGTATATATAGGTGAATATTGTTAGCCGATCTACAACTGCCCCCGCTTACACATAACTCATTATTCTGCACTTAACTCCAACTGAAGCTGCTAGTCAAATGAACTCCCATTCAATATGCCAGCCCACCGCAGAAACGAGGCTCGAAAATTCAACGCCAGAGCCGCAACGCAAGACTACAGATATTACTGCAAGTGAGATACGTGATACACAATAATAATACAGATATAATTAAACATACATATGTTGCCCATAGAGTGCTGATTAGGCAAAATGAAGCCAAACAGCATCATTCACCGCGACCGTCGCAACCGCCGATCAGTTTCAGGAAAGAGCATCTGGTCGTTCCGTTTGTTTCACAGTTTTATTAATCCTCAATCCATCTACTGCGTTTGTCTATGCTTTCATTTGCTAAGTGGTTTTCCTGGAGAATTACGAGCAAACTATTTGGCGCTTCGCCATCGTTAGCTGTGACGCTGTGGAAAAACAAGATAAGTAAATGGGGGAAAGCAGCGTATATTGACTTCTTTGGGCTTCTGGCCTTCTTCGTTTAACTGCAGAGAAACTAAAAACAGATTTGTAAATACTTCAGAGAGAAGAAAACAATACAAACAGGCTGCAGCCGCCGAGCATGCAAATAAGCTGCTGGGGCCCACGGGATTGTCGGTAGCGGCATCCGAGGGTAAAACAAATTATTCAAAAGGCAAATTCTACTTAAGTGTACAGATACTGCTATTTTCACTTGTACGACTACTACAACAGATCTCGTTGGGAAGGTATTTCCTTCTTCGATCTGCTAATCACCACGTTTTCCGTTTTGCAATTTTCTCCAGCCGTGCAGAAGCAGTGGCTGTACACAGCCTCCCCAACACCAAACTGCCCAGCGATTAAACTTTGTTTTTATTGAAGTAATAACTGGATGCCTTCCCTTCTGAGCAGATCTGCTCGTGCCAGAGATTGAGGAGGCTCGTCCGGTAGTGGCTACATCTGTTGCTTTGACTCTGCTGAGAACGACCAATGCAAACCTGGCAAAAGACTACGCGGCCAATGGCCACAACTATGTCTGACTTGAGCTGGGGGCGTCGACAAGCCTGAAGAGGCGGCATACGCGAGAGGAAGCAGGGGAAGTCGTTGTTGGCTTATCTACAGCAGAAAACAACTCCAACAGCTGCCATGGGACCCGCGCAGATACCACGTTCTCTACAGTCTTTCTTTGCGTCGAATCTGCTGCCCAAATACAGCCAACTCAGGCAGAACAGTGCAAGGGCAGTGGTGGCCTGGCGGCCGTCGGGCCCTGAACAAGATGTAAAAGTACCCCGCTTCTCGTTGTTGGTTCGGCTTAAAGAGTCGGGGTTTTCGCCGACACGCTCAAGCGCATTTCTGTGTGCAGATTCAAATGGAGCGACGCAGCCGTCACACCCCTTTGCAGCAGCCGTCCAGACATTTGGAAAGCAGCAGTGGACGGATTACACCAAATCGCGGTGTATTTCTGCGTTTGCGTCGTCTACCTTCTCCGGACTCAGCCGACTACGCAACCCAGAAGTATTCAACAGCAATGCGTTGCACAATACCAGTAAAAGCGGTGCCGGTTTCCCCAGGACGATTGATTCTTTCTTGGCAAGGCGGTGCTTCACGACGTCTTCCTCAGTCCCGGATTACTACGCAATATTGGGGGTCAAAAGAAATGCCACTCAAGATGAAGTGAAAAAGGCGTACAGACAGACGGCGCTCAAGTGGCACCCAGACAGGTAGGTGTTTTCGCGTTTCTGGCACTGGGTTGCTGTTTCATGGCTTTATGTAACTTGCCGCTGGTGGTGAAGTTGACTGCTTTATGCTAGTTTGTGCGCTTCCGCAGGAACCCGAACAACAGAGAAGAAGCGGGTAGGAAGTTTCGTGATGCAAGCGAGGCCTATCAAACATTATCAGATCCCACGAAGCGAGCGCAGTACGATGCCTCTCTTGATGGCGCTTCTTCATCATCACGCCAAGCAGGCGGTTACTCGGCCTACTCCGACCCTTTTGCTTCCAGAGCGCGAGCTGACAGAGGTATGCAGTTGTTAATCTGATGTGTCCATATGTTGGAGTGCGTTAGCTTCATCTGTCCGAGCACAGGCTGCTTTTGCAAAGGAAGCAATTGCTCACGATGCGGATACCACCTATAGGTGGTGCACAGTGCATGCGTATATATTCCAGTTTATATAAGTTAGCAATATATATATATATATATATATATATATATCTGCATTGTGTACCACTTGCAGGCGGTTTCCATTTTGGAAACCTCACACCGGAAGAGGCCGAGCTTTTGTTTCGCCGGGCATTTGGGGGTGTCTCTCTAGAAGAAATTTTGCAACAGGCGCTCAACCAGCAAAGTGCTGCCCGTTGGGCAAGAGGAATGCCGTTCCAGCGGCATGATATGTTTGAACATAGAATGGGATCACGGCCGTCTACGAGCTTTCTGGACGACCATGAGATCTATGAAATTCTAAGAGGCCTGTCGGGTATGCGCAGATATCCCACAATGCAGGCGCTGCACACCGAGCGGAAATGATCCACATCAGACAATTGTTTCGTATTACTTCCCCATGCGGTTTCACTGCGAACAATGCTGCCGTTGCGTCGAAGTGTATTATAATGCGCCTCCGCTGTTCCGTTGTGCTGTCTGGCGAAGGATCAAGGCCGGAACTCGGCACCCAAGTCAGTTACTTCACACGGGGAGGAAGGATAATTGAGAGAAGAACAACAACTCGACGCTTCCCGGGAGGGGGTATTCAAACTGAAACAACAGAACGCGATGTTGGACCAGATACGGGTACGTGCGCCTTTTGCACTTCTGTGTTGTACAAACTGCAACTCATGTGTGCTAGCGTGCCGACCTGTGTGTGTGGCGTGTTTGATATCCTTGATTTGAATACAGCGCTGACCCCACTTTGTCTCCCTGTTTTGCAGCCCAACTCAAGTTGGGCTGGCTGGTAGATGGGAACATTTGCATACGGTTGTGGAACTCTTGCTGTGGGTGATGGGGGTGGCAATATTTCTTTGCGAGTTGCTGATACTGACTGGCAGCAGTATCATTTGTGCCAAATGTGATCCGACATTTCAGGTTCTGGCAACCCCAGGGATACAAGAAGTGGTTCTAGGTCACAGCAAAATTTCGGTTCATCACGTGATTGGATGCGCATGCCTCCGGAAAACAGATCTGCAAACAGACAAGGACTGGAGGTTGCCACCCCGTTGCAGCAATTCGTATTTATAGCGCGTGAATATGCCAAGATGGCCTGGACGCTCATCAAAATCTCTGCTCTACGTGCCTTCGCACGGGCAGTTGTTCGATTCGTGACAAACTTACTGACGCGCCGCCGGTAGTTTATGTTTGCTCCAACAAGCTGTTTTGCAAATGCCATGCAGAGAGGATATGTAGTTTGATATTATATACGGATATAATGCTCTCATTGATGGCCTGTGCGAAGAATGACTACGTGGACTTGTGAATTATGGAATGCAAGCAAAGGCGCAAAGCCAACAGAGCCGGGCCCTGTCGCTTCTTCAGCATCCGCTTCAAGCATGAAACGGCAGATTATTTCAGTCCGGAAGAGAGATAATGAACGTGAGTGTTTACTACGAAGTTGAACTGCGCACTATAGGGTGGCTGGAGCCCATGACGACGCCACAAACACCCAGAGGAATGGTGGTTGCGCGTTGCAGCTTGGGGTGTACGGGGAGCACCTCAACGTACGTACACCGCCGAGTGAACGCGTAGACAGAACCCCGTCACTTTCATCTTTCCCGCTCCTTTCGAATTCTCTTCGCAATATGCGTTGATTCTTTTGATTGTTTTTTTTGCGGATTTGTCCGGAATGGTCATTTCGGCGGTCTGATCTTTTGGAATTCGACTTTTCTGAATTTTTCATATTGCAGCGAAAAGTGATTGACAATGCTTCAGCATATTGTTTCGCGAAAGAGGCACGGCAGGTTTTTGCCCCGCTCCAAGGTGGTGGAGCAGAAACGAGGAAAGGCGCAAGAAAGGACAATTGTTTCCAGGCTGAATGTAGTGAGATCGACAAGATTTCCACACGAAAATAGTTATAGTTCTCCTTAACTGTAACATCATATATAGGTCAAAACCATCGACCTTTTCGAACAGCCGCTGCCGGCATCGGCACTTTTGGGTGCCCGGTAGGTTTCCCGCGTCCTCGGCAGTTGCCTTTTCACGCGCTAACAAATCGCGTGCAGGAAGATTAAGGAGATAATCTTCGCCGCCAGATGTGCGGTCATTGTGTAAGGAAGAACATCTGTTTATTTGTGTAGACATTAACAAACTCAAGAAATCGGCTTTCGCAGCACTGAAGGTGGCATCTGCCGAGCTTATGATACGGTGCCTACCATATAAATTCCTCACAAACTCCGTCCCTCTTGCACAAACACAATGCATGATGCCGGCACTTTTGCAGGAAACAACGAAGTTTCTAGCAGACTTAAACCCAGCAGCTCCGTGGAAAAGTAAGACGAGCTAGGGCATGCATCCCCAATGGCTAAACCAACCAACCTTATCAAACTTGCGGGACAGAGGTCACTACGGCAATATACCATTCAAGTAATGACACAGTTGCCGTTGTCTATGAACCGAATCCCGGAGGCCTACAGTGCCAAATCTTTATTGCCTCCGTACGTCATCCTGTGTACAACTTACCGGCGCTACAGACGCCTACGAATGCGCATATTACATAGGCTCTTGAGCACGGCCAACTGAGAGCTCCAGCTATTGCTTCTGACTTCGGTACGATACATGATTCCATGTGGACAGAAAGTGCTCTGATTTACACAACTCCCAAGCGAATGTCGTCTTGTCCCACCCGGCGTTTTTCGAGTTTGACGGTAATCATTCTTGGGTATATATTTCCATCGCAGCTGCTTTTCAATGACATTGGTGCACCAACAGAGGCGAACGGAGTGATCCTGGCAGCACAGCAAGGGGACGTGCAGTCATTCCAGTTTTGGGTGCGCATGCTCTTTGTTGCATGAAGAGACAATATTTGCGGACTTATTGCTTTCTCAGAATCACACCAAATTTAAGCTCGTGTTTGCTGTCCACGGAGAGGAATTTGAAGGCAAGTTATCATTGCAATATATGATGGTACTGAAACTACTCAGGCCTTTTCATTAGAAGTCAGGTACTGAAAACGTGCATAATAGAAGCAAATACGCAATAATTTTACTTCACCGGTAAAGAATTTCGCATGGACTGGCTGCTCTGTTCAAGCCAACAAACACAAGGTGCTTCTCTGCATCTGTGTTTGACGTAGAAGACGGAAGACGCGTGGTGAAATATAGCAGTGCAAATAGCATTTTCGTGTAAAAGAGGATACACATGCACGAATGCTGTCTCATCAGGCGGAAATAGACATCCCTATTGATCAATACAGACGCGTGGAATTTCTAGAGTAGGTAATTACGGCAAAACACTGAAGACTAGTGTTGCACGGCTGCCGCAGGCTCCTCGTTTCGAAGCTTCTCTTTAAGCAAGACCGTGGTTAGTTCCAATCCTTCACTTAATATACAGTAACACACTTGGACATATGTGTCTCGCTTGTGCTCCCTTGTTCACAGCAAGCCTACGAATTATAGACCTTCTAGAAGATGGAGCCAGCATGAAGGTCCCGCATACGCGCGACACCTTCTCACCAGTTGGCTTTGTTTTCTTCGAGGTGCGGAGTTTTTCAAACATAGATGCATTCAGCTGCTCAGTTGTGGATTGCAGGCGCCAGAGAGAGTCATGGGAAAGAAATATTTGGATCGGGTTCGGTTTTTGCATGTCTTCTTGCGAGGAACTTGGGAACATTCTGACCCGCGCAGAGGGCCAGAAGATTTTTTACCATATCCACTGATGTTGTTCAATTCTGGATCCTCCAAAGCAACAAACTCGACACGCTGCACAAAATTCAGATAGACGGTAAGCAATTCATCTTTGAAAGCTTGTGCTTGCCATCCACACTCCTTCCTCAGGTCTTCGTGAGGCTGGCTTGTGCCAGCAGTGCATCGGTGCGAACCTGTTAGTCGTGTGTCCATCGCATATATCAAACAGTAAGTCTAATTTATCATCTATTCTAGAGCTATCATCTATTCTAGAGCCTCGCGATCATTGTGCTCCAGGAAACAGCGAGACATTTGTCCAATGTAAAAAACGCAGGACACGCAACTCTGGGCTAGCTATGAAACTAGTCATGCTTTATATCTCAGGCACCTCCCAGGTGGCATTCGTAAGTGCATTGGAGCTTCATCCTGCGAAGCAACTGGGTAGAGGAACGCCCAAAAGTTCCGACTCTCCCGAACCTGTTGGCGACCGGTCGCATGAACCCACGAAAAGAGGCCTCCGGAGCCCAGGAGAAACCAGCCTCCTCTTCTTTTCAATGGAGGACGGCCAGTATGTAGGGAGCATCCCGTCACGCCTCTGCGGAGAAAATGTCGAGGTCCTGCAGCTTTCTGCAGACAATATGGTGTGCCAAATTAAACACAAAGCAAGATGCCTTGAAATTCACGTGGCAATCTCAGGCCGTTGGCTGCGGCAACCACGCAGGTACTAAATGCCTAACTCGCCCCCGTAATTAAGGGGCTTAAAACAAATTCAGGTGTGGTCAGGCTGCTCCAGGCGTCCTGGATGACCGAAGCCTGTTCACCCGAAGTCGCAGAATGTGCAAGCGCGCACGTTGAAACTGGCGATCCCGCGGAGTCGCCCCGTCCCCATTCACCTTTCATCCCGTCGGAGACGCCAATGGTAAGAAGAAAGGAAACACAACTCGCTAAACGCCTTGTGCAAAATAGACTCGCAGCCCTTGCCAAAGCCAACGTTCAAAATGTTGCTGCCCCATCGTGAAAGCCGCCAGGCGTCCGTCAACATCCAGGAGGACCTAAAGGGGAGTCCTTCTGATCTAGGAATTTCGTCATTTCAAAGTGGAAGCGGGGAGGTTAGCCTCCGCAACAAGCGGACCCTACTCACAGGCCACGACCAACCGGCCGATGGCAGGAAGAGAAGCACCCGCCTGACGTAGACAAATATAAGATACTCTTGTCAGCGCTACGCTCATACTGTTTCTAAATGCCACTAGAAGAAGCATTCAGCAAAACAACAATCATTCAAGCGTGCTGCTGTCATTTCGACATGCAGCACCACCACAGCAAAAGGCGTCCACAGGTCATATTGCCAGGGCGCCAAACCTCAAACCACATTATGCACGATCGCGGTTGTTAATCACGCAAAAATGCTGCGCAGCTTCCTCTCCATCACCATTTTTGTCATCTGCGGCACAAAGACAAGAACAGATCCAACTGCCAAAACCTTGTGTCATACTCTGCCCCTAACCAATCCAACAAGCTTATTTGCATGCGACACACTTGCAATTCCTCAGCATTTGCGCACTAGTGCGAAAATGTGCAACTATAACTTAGCGACACAAGCTCAAGAGGGGTTCAAGTCAGTGCGCAACAATGTCGAAATTGCTTGGCGCACCGCTTTCTTCCAGGCTGCTCTGGAGGACAACTCCAGTATCCTTTTCCGTATCCGTAAAATCTGCACAAAAAAGAAAAAGAAGTGAAATAGCAAGAATTGGCAGGGATACATTGACCAACACCCTGCGCAGGTAGGTGGGTCGGTGACTGTCCAAAACGATCCTCCAGTGTCATGAACCTACTGGCAGATATTTGTCCTCCGATAGGGTAGACGTGCTCCCGTAACGTCGTGCTTATCTTTTGTCTGCGTTAAGAAATACCAAGCAAAGGAAAGCCCTCACTATTCACTGAGTGGGCAGCAGCATGCCTCTAACCTGAGTAGAAACCGCCCTGCGCAAAAAGATGCGCTGTCAATGGTGATAACGTACACAATGGAATCAATGTACTTCTCTTCGTTCCGATTTTCCATGTTGGTTGTGCGGATTTTGAGTTCGTAGTTTGGTCCGTAATATCCTCGGTACATGCAGCTGTCAGGAATCTCTAAGAAGCGCAAAGGGCAAGACACACTATTACTGCACTGGCATTAACAGTAGCATGAAGTGCCTATGCAAGATTTGACTGCTGCCCCCGGCAAAACTGGCGAAGAATTTGCAGCGAACCAAAGAGAAACGGCGAAATAGTAAAGCCGCGAAGGCCTTGGGAGCAACGCACTTGGATCGAGGTCAACTCCCAAAATATAGCCGGTTTCTTTTGCCCAACACCTAGGTACGTTTCCCAGCGTGTAGCCGCCTCCACCAAGGAATATGGCCGGCACCCCGGCCTTGCAGAAGTAACGTACAGCTTCGCTATGCCCTTCACGCATACAGCCACAAAGCAGAAAGGGGGGGAGGTTGCTGTGGCGTTGAAAGAGAAGCATTCCGTCTTGAAGTGCCTTCACTGTCGCCTCCTGTGTACCAGCAACAGCAGCACCTCACCATCCAGGGACAAATTGAAGCAGCCAAGTCGATCGCCCGCAACTGAATCTGCTCCGCACTGAAGAACGACCGCTTCAGGGCGGTAAATATCCATAATTTGATCCATCACCTGGAGCAAACAAACACCAACAGCGGCATCAGCAGCAGGAGTGCAGCCACGAAGTTCCTCCTGCTTGTTTAGAGGCAACCGGGCGAGCAAAGTGGATAGCATGGATGGAGTTATTGCGAAGTCAGAAGAAGCAGAAAGAGCGGTGTCTGCGCCCACTCGAACGAAGAGAGAAGAATACATCTGGTCGTCGATGCCCTCATGTAGAGGCACGTTGACGCTGTACCCGAGGCCTTCTTCCATTCCAATATCTTCAAGGGCCCCTGTGCCTGGAAAGAAGTGGCCGTACTTGTGAAAAGAACAGCACAGCACTCTGCAAAGAAACGCACAACACCGTCTGTACACCGTATACTCTCAAAATAGGTGCTGCAAACAACCCTCCCATACACCACAAGTGCAGCAGACAGGCATATCTTCTTCTTCCTTTTTCTCTTCTTTTTCTTATCTTCATCATTTCACGGCGTTTGTTGGTTTGTGCTCACCTAGGGGAGGTATAAAACGCCTCCTCTACTCCGTCTCCGTGGTGTATATCCACATCGACGTACAGCACCCGGTGTTTATACCTCAGAAACTCTAACGCCGCCAACACGCAATCATTAACATAACAAAAGCCACTAGCTTCATGCTTCTTTCCGTGGTGAAGTCCCCCAGCCCTGCAGCCGCCCATATCGAAGCAGCAGAAGCACACCAAACAAATACCTCATGCTGTGCCGCTGCTCTCTGTACAATTTACACTTTATGCCTATCAGCACATCCACTGCAACAACACCACTTTGATACTGCAGCAGCAGCAGAAGCAACAGGTGCAGGTTCAGCAGCAGCAGCAGTAGCAGCAGCAGCACCAGCAACAACAACAGGTGCAGCACGAACCAGTTAATTGCGAATTGATATTCTCCCTGCACAACTCTGCGTGCGCCTTCAATGCTGCCTCCGGTGTACGTCTTGCAATATTCCCAGAGGCCATCGAACACCGGGCAATCCTCGCCGATATTAAATCTGCTGATTTGATCAACAAAGGGTGGGGCCCCTTGGGGGCCCCCCCCTGTGTCTGTAGGATCTACACTTGCTGCAGTGCTGCCGCCTACACTGGATGGGGAGAGGCTTCTGCTGTTAGAATGTGAAGCTGTTGCTGCAGTAACAGGAAGGCCGTGGAGCTGAGCTGCTGTGGCTTGTTGCTGTTTATTAGCAGCATATCCCGCATTGTTATAAGCAGCAGGCGAGAAGACGCCATGAGGGGCTTCTTGAATTGGAGAAGAGGGGCCCCCGCCCCCCCCTCCTGAATGAATAGAAGAAGATAGAGAAGAACCATCAGCTGTAGAGCGCAAAAATGCTATATAATCATCTGCGTGAAAACGAGTCAAAGCCTTCACTGTTGGGTGGGGAGGCAGCTGTACAGAAACAAACAAATAAACAAATAAATAAATAAATAAATAAATAAATAAGCACACAAGGGACAAACAAACAGAAAATAGAGCAAAATACAGATAAGTCGATAAATGGACAGCAATAAAGAAATGAACAACATATATATATGTATGCATGCAAATATATATAGAGACAATTAAACTGCAACAGGAATGAAAGAAATGTAAAACGTAATTTGTTTGCATGCAAGGGATCGCTCAACTCCTGCGCTTTCTCTTCCTTTTCTGCAGTGTACATACACCCGAATATCGATGAACGAAGAAAACACAAAAATAGAAACAGACAAAGAATAACAAAACAACGGGCAGGAAAAACGAAACAAACAAAAACAAAAACAAAAACAAAAAAACAAAAGCAAACAAGAAGAACGACGGGGAGAAGAAGAAAAGGAGAAACAAACCAAAAGAATAATAAACAAACAATTAAAGGAGTAAAATGAATAAAAACAAACAAAGAGAAGGATGAAAAACAATAGAAGGAATACAAAGACCACCACCACCAACAACAAAGAAAGAACATAATAATAGTAATAATATTAATAAGCATATTAAACAAAAGAAGAAAAGTAATAAAAGAACAGCTTACCATCAACTCTACTAAATCAAGTAGCCCATAGCCTTGCAAGAGATCGTGAGTCATTCGCACTCGATGAGGTTTCATTGGATGGCCGGGCCCATAGAAAAAGTTCCCCACCTCCTCTGCATGCATGCATGCATGCATGCACAAAATAATTAGAAAATAATATGTTTAATTGCTTTGTGTAAGGCATTATTATACAATCCTTTATAAACGCATTACCACCACCGTATACAGTACACAAGAAAAACATCAACACATACACCTAAGAGAGAGAGAGAGGAGAGATTTAGAAAGCTGCGTTGCTGATACAAGAGAAAAGAAACAGGAATAATATATTAAATGAATGAGGGAAGCAAAGAAGAAAAAAAAAGAATAATCGCCCCCCCTGCTGTACATACACTGCAATGGGCGTACCATCGTAGAAATATAAAACCTTCTTCTTCATCTCTTCCTCCACAAACAACAACAGCGCTGCCGCTTTAGCTCTAGAAAAAAGAAAAGAGATGGCGATTTCTTTGCAGAATTACAGGAAAGAAACATTTAAACGCAAAAGCAAGCACAAGACAAGAAAGGCCCTGCTACACTTCTCGGCGGGGTGTATATACACCCCAAAGAAACACGTAATTCATATACAACGGGCCAAGAAAATCCTCGCGCTCGATGATGCTGCTGCTCCTGTTGCTGCTGCATATGCTACTACTGCAGCAGCTGCTACTGCTGCAGCTGCTGCTGCTGCAGCTGCTGCAGCAGCCGCTGCGGGCGTTGGCTGATCGATATGTACGGCGCAGGTTCGAGTGTTCGCGGTGTATGGATTCGTCCGCAGCTTCGTTGCGCTGTCAAGGGAGAGGTAGACAACAGAGGGAGGGGAGCTTCGCAGCAGCAACTGAGGGTAAATGCGCGGGAGAAGAAGAAGGCCTAGAAGGAAGACATGCGGCCCGCTGCGGGTGTACATGCGGCTGCAAGTGAATAAAGTGAATAGAAGTGCAGATGCAATTAAACTGAATCGAACAACCCAGTGCGGAGGGCTACACCCCCCAGGCATCCAGCTGTTTGCGTTCGCCCGGTGTACGTACACCCCAACCCACTAGAGAAGCGAAGCCGCAAGCAGCGACTAGAAACGAAACTCTATCTGAGGAGCAAATGAACATAAACAGCTAAAATAAATTGAAGAATATCCTCTTCATCTTCTTGGGGCTGTCAACCGCCACCCGGCCTCCGCTGGGGGTAAGGAACAACACCCTACACTGCATGCATGCAGCACACGTAGAAGCGTGTTGTACAGTTGATAATAGGGGCGAATAACATATTAAAATAATCAGCAGAACGCGGAAAGCAACTTTAAATGACTTTTTAAAAGCTTTCCTCTTGATATTTCCCTCTCCGCATTCCGTCGAGGTGTCTGTACACCGCGCACTCGCACGGCCTTTTCTCTTTCTTGTTCGGGTACACTGCGGCTCTTTGCAACTTCTTTCTGCTGATCGCTGTTGCATTTTGTTTGTTCTTTCTTTTCTTTGTATTTTTTCTTTTCTTTGATTTTGTTTTTACCTCTCGCATCATTCGGACGGCGTTTCCTTTCCCCGCATCGAACATCCGCCGAGTGTGGCTGCGTTTTTCCTTGAGTTTGACCGGTGAATTGTTGTTTTTCCATTGGATTAGTTTGCTCAACATTCTTATTATTTAGAAGAGGAAGAGATTTGTTTGGAAGATGTCTCAGTCTACGCCTTCTTCGACTCGTGAGCGTGAGACGGAGGCAGAGCGGGCGCACCGCCTTAACAAGAAGAAGTATACGAGCAGAGTATTTACAAATGTGAATAAATATGTTATGGAGGATACTTTTAAGGTAATTCGGTGCAAGAAATGCACAGTAAATGCTGTTATAACAGATGCAGAGTTAGAGAAACTGCCTCGACGTCGCACAGACAACGCTCCGGTATTATGTAAAGACCAGTGGACAGTAAAGCTATCAACAAAGCCCGTTCAAGAAGCAGTAAAGATAAAGAGATTAAGAGGAATAGAAACACAATATCATCATGCGTGTGAAGAGTGCGGCCAGCCTGTTTTATATCAATCTGTACCGCACGGCTCCCCTGTGCGTTTGCTGTATTTAATAGAAGCAAATGTGCTGATCCCTAAGCATAAATGGCAGCCAAAGAGAAGATGCAGAGTCTGCGGGTATATTCCTCGAGACGATCAGCACTTTGAAGAACATATGCGAGACAGAGGACACTGGGATCAAACTGGGGGTTCGTTTCCGGCGTATGAGGAAAAGAACGACACGCCTGTCAACCCTATTATCGTTGGCTAGAAGAAAGGAATAAATAAATAAATAAATAAATAGATAAATAAAGCAAAGAACAAGCTCTTCATCATCTTCTTTCTTTTCTTCTTCATCGTCTTCGTCGTCGGCTTCCTTGTGTTATTTTTACTCTTCTTCTATTACTTCTTCTTTTTATTCTTTTTATTCCTGTTCTTCTTTGTGTTTGTTGTGGGTGTGGTTGTTTACATGTTTCGCGTTGTCTCCTCTTTGTTGTGGATTTACTCTCTTTGTTTTTTCTTTTCTGCTTTCTTCGCATTGCTTCTTCTCTTGTATTTTATTTTTGTGTTTTCATCTCTCTTCGCCAACAGACCAAGGCAAATGCAGCACAGAGGCGGCGAACTCCTAAACTTTTTTCTGTAGTATACATCACATTCAATTCTTATATAGCTAGCTAGCTAGCTAGCTAACTGGCTAGCTGGCTAGCTTAGAGTAGCAGGCTGGGGAAGGGGGCAGTTGTGGGGGCTTCATTCGAAGCTTCTCCCTAAACCCTAAACCCTAAACCCTCTAGGCTGATTTTCAGAGGGAGGTGTTATTGCGGACTTCTTTTAAAGGAACTTGTTTTAGGGTTTGTTTGGCGTGGCATTGATCTAGGGTTTAGGGTTTAGAGTCTTCTAGGGTTTGAAGCGCTCGGCCCAAGACGAGCGTTTAGGGTTTAGGGTCTATGTGGTGTGGCTGAGGGTGTATGCGGCTGTCTCTAAACCCTAACACAACTAAACCGCACAAACCCTAAACCCTAGCCACAGAGATCGGATGCTGCGCATGGTTGCGCTATGGGTATTGTGTGTAAAACCCTAAACCCTAAACCCTGAGGGTTTATGCCTTCATTGGTGAACCCTAAACCATTGAAATGTTAGGGTTTTGAATAAATGGAGAACCGGCTTCGCCGCCGTTCGCTATGATATCGAAACTTGTCTCTAGAAAAGGGGGGGCCCCCTGAGGGGCCACCAGGGGGCCCCCTGACGCCTCTGCGGGGCTCCCTTCTCCTCTCCCATAACAAAGGGGGCCTCGTAGTCGCAGTGCGCACAGCCACGGCTTCTTTAGCCTGCAGCAGCAGCAGCAGCAGCATTATTGTTAGTAGTAGTTGAGGTAGCAGCAACAGCAGCAGCAGAAAAAAAACAGTACGGGATACAGCCAGAGTTCTGCAGCTGCGGGGGCCGCCTAAACGAATGAATGCACGCTGCTGCAAAATTTAGGGTTTAGGGTTTGGGGTGTACATGCAGCTCTGTCCACTTCCGCACGGCTTCGAGGGTCGCTCCCACTTGTTCGCTCTCCACGTCTACATATGCATTGCTGCAGCAACAGCATCAGCAGCAGCAGCAAACAGCAGCTAAGGGACGGCACTGGCAACAATACAACACCACCAGCAGCAGCAGCATTAATTACATCGACAGCAGCAGCACCGGCTACAGCAGTAGCAACAAACGCAGCAGCTGCAGCAAAGAATGCAGCTGCAGCGGCAGCAAGTGAAACAGCACCACATACCACTGCAGCAAAAGCAGCGAGCGCACTAACAGCAGCAAGCGCAGCAGCAGCAACAGCAGCAAGTGCAACAGCAGCAGAAGCACGTGCGGCAGCAGCAGCAGCAAGTGCAGCAGCTGACGTTCTGTCTATGGCGTGTAGCTTGGCTTCCCCCTTCCTCCACGCATTTTGTATTTCGGGGTTGTGTTGCACCACTCGGCTAAACCTGCGGGCATTTCGTTGCAAAACAAATGCAAAAAAACGAGAAAAAGAACAAAAATGGTCGCGAGATAAAACATAAAGTGCAGCAATCTCTTTACGCTGCCTATACACCTCAACGCACTTCCAATGCCGTTCCTGCTGAAACCTCACAGCGATGATGCATAAAAAAATGTATATACATATATATATGCGTATATGTATTTTATATGTATATGCATGTGTATGTCTGTTGCTTTTTAAGTGCGTACATACCTACACAAAATCTCTGTCGCTATAGATATGCATTACATATGCTAATATATTTATGCCTATATATATATATATAATTATTATTGTCATCGTATTTCCACTTGTTGCGTTTAATTGGTATTGTTGGGGTGTACGTACACCTGAAGTGAGACAGAGGCTCACCAGTCTTCAGCCTCCTGGGCAGATTGCCATTCATTTCTTTTTTTTAAGTGCAATGTGGTGTCTCCTCGTCGCCACGTCAGCAGAGACCGGCTCGGAAGTTCCTGCCCCACAGCCGTACAAACCCTAAACCCTAAACCCTAAACCCTAAACCCTAAACCCTAAGGCTTTAATATACCAGCAGGATGGAACAAAATACAAAGCCACTGCAAACCCCAAACCCTTAATTCGATAAAGACAAAAAACCAGCGCAAACCCTAAACCCTACACCCTAAACCCTAGAATCAATGTAAAATAGAGACAGAAGCCAATGAGTTAATTAGGTATACTTCAGCAGGGGGAGAGTATGAAGTGTTTCGGGTTTGGGGTTTTGTTTACCTTCAGCCCAGCTGCAACAGCAAGGGCCCTAGCGAGGACCTCCTGCTGCTGCACTCCTTCTCTCTCCGCTCGTTGCAGCAAATCTTCAGCAGCAGACAAAAAGACAGGCAACACGGAACGGTGCACGTCGTCGAGCTGCCGTTTGGTGCTCGCAGACTGAACAAAAACCCAAACCCTAAACCCTAAACCCTAAACCCTAAACCCTGAACTGAAGAATCGAAAGCAGGGCAGCACACAAGACTCTTCAGAGGCTCTAAGGCGGCACTTTGCTGCATTGTGCAACCGCTGTTCGCTTCTTGTTGAACCTCGGCGGTTTCGGAATTAGGGTTTAGGGTTTAGGGTTTGTGCCCACAGTTGCCTCCAGCACTTCGTTCACGCTGGGCAGCTCTTTGTACTCAAATCTGCGAGAAGCGGAGCACCAAACCTCAAAATCACAACCACTTAACCCTAAGCCCTAAACCCTAAACCCTAAACCCTCAAGCCTGAAATCCTACGCTGCAAACCCTAAACCCTCAATCGTAAACCGTTAATTCTTATTATACCATCCCCCCTAAGCAGTAAACCCTAAACCCTCAAGTTTGCGGGTGCAGCGCACCGAATGCCGCAGTTGGCCTCGAGGGCTCTAACTTCTCTCCTTTCTTCAGGAGAATGCAGCAACAGAGACAAACCCTCCCTCCCCGCACGCCCTGTGCGACCGCTGCGGTGTACAAACACGTCGCTGTCGTGTGCTACCCCACAGTGAACCACCTGCCAGCAGCAGCAGCAGCAGCAGCAGCAGCAGCAAATAGAGAGTAGCAGAGGTTGCGGACTAAGCAAAAATGCGGAGCGAAGACAGACGAAAGACAAAAAGGGGGCACAGAAGAGAAAAGCAAATGACAAAAAGAGTAATGGCTTAGGGTTTAGGGTTTAGGGTTTAGGGTTTAGGGGTGGTGGGGCTGAAGAGAAGGCCCGCGGACGCAGGTCAACACAAAGCAAAATACCTAACATAAGACGAAGGAAAGCCAAAAGGAAACAAGGGTTATAGAAGCAGAAAGAACACAGGGAAGAGAACAACAAGAAAGAAAAGAAGCAAAGCGAAAAAAAGAAGAAGAAAGACAGGAACAAGAACAGGAGGAGCACAGAGAAGAAGAAAAAGGAGAGGAAGAAAAAGAAAAAGGGGTGAAAAGAAAAAAAAGAGAAGAAGAAAAGAAGAAGAGAAGAAAAAGAAAAGAGAAAGAAGAAAAACGAAAAAGAAAGAAAAGAAAAAAGAAAAGAAAAAGAAAAAAAAGAAGAAAAGAAGAAAACACTCACGAGGTCGACGTTGCCGAGGTCTACGCCCCTCGCAGCGACATCCGTACAAATGAGGGTTTTATAGCGGCCTGTAACAGAAACAAAGGAGAGGGGCGGGCAATAAAACAAACAAACAACCAAATAAACAAACAAACAAGTGAGCAATCAAACGAATAAACAGAACAGCAAACAAACAGAGACACAACACAGACAGAAGCAGAAACAAACAAATCAACAAAGAGGACAAGAATAGCTTTGTAGGGCGAGCGGCTGGTCGCTGAGAAAATATCCATCGAGCTCGTTTGCTAGCTAGCTAACGTATGCTGGCTAGCTAGCTAGCTAGCTAGCTGGCTAGCTGGCTCCGGCTCAAGACCAACTAGCTATCCAGCTACCTAGCCAGGTAGCTAGCTATTCCTCGAAGGGATTTGTGTGCCAGCGCTTTGTAGAAAGGCTCAGAAGAAACCGCTCACCCTTTTTGAATGCATGCATGATGGCTTCTCTTGTCTGCTGCTCGACCCCTCCGTGAAGAACAGCAGCAGAGAAGTTTACTGCTGCAGATTCGTGGGCAAGGGCGTCAGCTTGCGTTTTAGTGGCGACGAAGACAATTGCCTGTTTGTTTGCTGCACAGAAGCACAAAACTATGCCCTGCAGCAACGCAGACAAAGATGAGCCCCAACAATCTGAAGGAACTTCCATCCGCAAGTGCCGTACGCTAGAGGCGGTCCTGCATATTTCAGCACAAACAACATATAAAATGCAAGAAACATGAACAAACATATTATTCAAAATACATGAATAATAATGCAGAAAACATGAACAAAAATACAGGAAATACGAATATAAATACAAGAAACATGAATAAAAAGAAGAAACATGAATAAAAACACAAGAAGACATGAACGAAAAAAATTCAAGAAAAACAAAAATGGCGGTGAATACGAAATAGAAGAAACGTCAAAAGGAAATACAAAAACTAATTCAAAACCCATGAACAAAAATACAAGAAAAACGAACAAAACCACACGAAATATGAAGAAGAAACAACAATAAACATAAACAAGAAATATCAGAAACATGAACAAAATCACACGAACTATGAATAAGAAACAAGAAGGTGAAAAAGAAGTATGAGACAAAAAGAAACATCAAAAAGAAATGTCAGAAACATGAACAAGAAATATGAATAAGAAATACATAAAAATGTACAGAAAAATGTATATCTTGTGTACAAGAAATACAAAAAGAAAATACGAGCAAGAAATATCAACGAGAAATACAAAAAATTCGGACAAGACGAAGACGGAACATGAACAAGAAATATCAGAAACATGAAAAATAAACATCAGAAACGTGAATAGTAAATATCAGAAACATGAATAATAAATATCAGAAACATGAATAATAAATATCAGAAACATGAATAATAAATATCAGAAACGTGAATAATAAATATCAGAAACATGAATAATATGAACATCAGAAACATGAATAATATGAACATCAGAAACAGGAATAAGAAATATAAACAAGAAGCATATGAACGATTTCAACTCAATAAGAAATACAAGAAAAACGAATCCTAAACCCTAAACCCTAGACCCTAAACCATAAACCCTAAACCCTCGCGACTGACCTGACGGTTCGGTTGAGCATTGCATCGACTGTTTGGGGGTTTTTGAGGAATTTTTCTGCAACTTTTTGGACCCAGTTGGGTTGAGTTGCGGAAAAGAGGAGGAGTTGTTGCTGCATTAATGTGTTATTTTGCGGTGTATGTTCGAAACCGGAAGAAGGAGGGGACTGGGGTGTATAGGCAGCTGGGGGCGCCCCCTCAGCATTTAAAACCCGAGAAGATAAAACAGAAGAAAGAATTAAATCCACAGCTTCCGCAAAACCAAACCGCAGCATTTCATCTGCCTCGTCCAGTACTACGTGCATCACTCCACTCAAGCTGCAGCAGCAGCAGCACCAGCAGCAGCAGCAACAGCAACAATAGCAACACAAGCAGCAGCAGCAACAGCAGCAGCAAAAGAAAACAAAATGCACCTCTAAACAGATACCAAACCCCTAATCTCAGCGCCGCACAGAACAGCAACAGCAACCGCAGCAGCAGCGACAGCAGCAGCAGCTACAGCAGCAGCAGCAGCAGCAGCAGCAGCAGCGACAGCAGCAGCAGCAGCAAGAACGCACTCAAGAGCTGCAGGGCCAGGGCGGCTTGCAGAGGGCCCCAAGCCCATCAAATCTATTAAACGCCCTGGGGTTGCAACGACAGCATCTAAACCCTTCCTGCACCCCTGCTGCTGCTGCTGCTGCTGCTGCTGCGGTCGGCAGAGAAGTCGTATTTGCCTCAGCTGCTGCTGCAGCGGCACCCCTCCATAAATGCAAAGCGAAGAAAACCCCAAGGGGCCCCCAAGGGCCTCCAACTCGCTGTGGACTTGCCGAGCCAGCTCCCCTGCAACGCAAACCCTAAACCCTAAACCCCTAAACCCTAAACCCTAAACCCTCAACCGTAGGCTCTGCTACATGAGGGTTTTCGAGGCAAGAGCAGCAGCAGCAGCAGCAGCAGCAGGGCAGCAGCCAACATCGTTGCGGACTTGTGGGGGCGAGAACTAAAAGACGGGGTCTCGCTACAGCCTGCGCTGCATGTACACCTGCTGCTGCTGCTGCTGCTGCTGGCTGCTGCTGCTGCAGCAAACGAGACAGCAGCGGAACGAGGAAGGCGAAGGTTTTGCCGCTGCCGGTCTCCGATCTCCCAAGCAAATCAACCCCTTCAAATATAGGCTTAAATGAGGTCGCCTGTAAACCCCAAACCCTAAACCCTAAACCCTAAACCCTAAGCCCTAAACCCTAAAACACACCCATCAACCCGGTCTAGGGTTTACCCTGCCGTACCCACAGGAGAAAATGATGCAACATGATACAGCAGCACCATCCCCGCTACGGTCTAGGGTTTAGGGTTTAGCGTTTAGACAACTAGGGTTTAGGGTTTAGGCAGCTAGGGTTTAGGGTTTAGGCAGCTAGGGTTTAGGGTTTAGGGTACCTGGATGTTTGTCATGTGGGTAATTCCTCTCTTTTCGAGGGCCGCCGCAATCTCTGGCAGAATCTGCAGCCACCCAAACCCTGAACTCTAAACCCTAAACCCTAAACCCTAAACCCTAAATCCTCTTCCCCAAACCCAAACCTTATGACGCTACACCCTAAACCCTAAACCCTAAACTGTCTCTTCTGTACCTCTGGGATGTCTTTGAACTTCGTGCCGGAGATTTCCGAATGGGCCGTAGACTGAAGGCATCACAAACCTAAACCCTAAACCCTAAACCCTAAGCCCTAAACCCTAAACCCTAAACCCACACTCAAAACCCCAGGTCCAAGTGCATAGAGTGTATGCATACACAGGAGAAGATGTCTCTGTTGAATTGAGGAGATTGAAGGTTTGGCCTTTAGGGTTTAGGGTTTAGGGTTTAGGGTTTACCTGCGGAGCGGTTTGCAGCTCTGGAAAGAGGGGTTTAACGAGGCCCTCCCCACCTTCCCTCTGCAGCAGCAACCCTTCTGCCTCTGGGGCCCCTGGGGCCCCCCCTTGGGGGCCCCCCGGGGGGCCCCCAAGGGGGCCCCCCAAGAGGCCTCCTAAACCTTTTTGCAATATATTTGCAGACTCCTCTGAACCCCTTTTCGTCGCTCTACTGGGAGCCCCCGGGGCCCTGGGGCCCCCAGTAACCCGTGGAGCCCCTACAAAGGTTAGGGGCCCCTCTGGGGGCCCCCTACGTTGCAGCATATGCTGCTGGGCTTCAGCCCAGTGAAAGGCTAAACCCATGGACGGGGGGGACCCCCAGGGGGCCCCTTTGGGGTAGAGGGGCCCCCAAAGACGTGAGGGCCCCTTCCCAGGTTGCAGTGAGACAGCAGCAGCAAATAAAGAAGATAAAAGGAAGGCTAAAACAGCAAACAATAACAAACAACCACACGCCTTAAATCCTTTCCAGGGGCCCCCACGGGGGCCCCCCCACCACCAAGAGACCTCGTAAGAAATGAAGGGAGGAGGGGGGCCCCCAGGGGTACCCAGTTTGTCTTTAGGGGCCCCTAAGGGGCCCCTGGGGGCCCCCTTCTTGGACTTCATGGTTCAGGGGCCCCCAAGGTAGTCGAGGGGAGGGGGCCTCGGGGCTGCGGTATGCATAGGCAAGGCGGGGGCCCTGGAGGTGAAGACAAAGAGGGATAAACAGCGAGAAGACAAACAAAAAATAAGAAAATAAGTTGCAGCAAACAGCAGAAACAAAGGCTGAAAACAGATTATCGGGGGGGGGGGGCCCCCTCACCGCAAAGGAGGCCCCGGGGTTTGCTCCTCCTTTTTGACGAGAGTTATAACAAAAAAACAGAAAAATTAAATAATTAATTCATTTTAACAACAAAAACAATAAATAATTACGCTTGGAAGCTTGAGACTGCGACAGACGTTGGTTTCCCTGGGGGCCCTTAGGCGGTCGGTCGCGAGCGGGGGGGGGGCCCCCAGGGGGCCCTCCTGGGGGGCCCCCCTCTAGCGGCCCTCCATGGGGGCCCTTTTGAATTATTTTCTGCATTTTTATTCATATATTGATAGCAAACCCGCTTAGGTATTGCATTTAGAGTTAATCAGTTTGCTGCTTCTTTTTTTTTGTTTTGCTGCAGCAGGTCCCTCACCGCATCTTCTTTGTCTGCTGCTGTTAAGCTCGAAGGGGGCCCCTTGAGGGGGGCCCCCTGGGAGGCCCGTGCTGCAACAGCAACAACTGCTGCTGCTCGTGATCCCCCTGGGATGCCCTTGCTGTTGCTGCTGCTTCTGTAGCAGCAGCAGCAGCAGAAGCAGCAGCAGCAATAGCAGCAACAGAAGCAGCAGCAGCAGCAACAGCAGCAGCTTGTGTAGAGGTTGTGGGGTTTTGAAGGGCCCTCTGTTCCAGCTGCAGGGGCTTCGTATGTTGGGGGCCCCCTGAGACTGTCACGGCAGCGACAGGGCCCCTTATACTAATTGTTTATCTATTTGTTTTCTGCTACACTGTACAAACATATATATATATTCTATTTATACAATAAATAAATATATATACGTGTATATCGGCTATGAGCGGATGGGGCCCCTCGGCTACTTCATCCCCTTCAGACCCACAACAGCCTTGGGGCCCCCCGCTGTTGTAGGGGCCCCCAACGCTCTCCTGAAAATAGGGGGGCCCCCAAGAGCTCCCCTATGGGGGCCCCTATGGGGGCCTTTAAGGGGGGCCCTAAGAGGGCCTTTAAGGGGGCCCCCAGGGGGGCCCCCTGCAGCTGTGCATACACCGCATGGGCACCATAAGTGGCCCCTGCAGCTCCTCTCGATGCACTGTAGGGAAGGGCACTGCAGGTGCTTCTGGGGGGCCCCCGAGTCTAGAGGGGGGCCCCCTGAGTCTAGATGGGGGCCCCCAGAGTCTAGGGGGGGGCCCCCTGGATCTATTGGGGGGCCCGCCGGGCCTATAGTAGGGCCCCTGTGTGGCGGGGAGTGCCTTTTGTGTGCAGAGGGGCCCTCGAAGGTGTGCAGTGTTTTGCTGCTGTCTCTTCTTACAAAAGAAACAAAAACACAAAGGAAAAAAGAAAGGGGGGGCCCCCAGCAGCAGCAGCAGCAGCAACTGCAGCAGCAGCAACAGCAGCACGTAAAGATATGCACTGCGGATCTGCTGGGGAGCCTTACGTTATCTCTCCATCTGCTGCCTCTGGGGGACCTCCTTAGACTCTCGTGGGCCCTCCCTGCCCTCACAGACTGCAGCAGCAGCAGCAGCAGCAGCAGCAACACCAGCAGCAGCAGCAGCAACAGCACTGTCAGTGACAGCGGCAGGTGCATGCGCTGCAGCTGGAAACATGGGCAGCTCCGGATGTTCCCTCCACAGCAACAGCAACAGCAACAGCAGCAGCAGCAGCAGCAGCAGCAGCAGCAGCAGGGTAGCTGGAGGGAAGCCAAAATGTGTCTCACTTTGGAGTTGCTGCAGCAACTCTCTACCCGCCTGCTGCCGAGGGATTATGAAGCAGCAGCAGCTGCAGCAACAGGTGCACCCGCAGCAGGAGCAGCAGGATCACCAGAAGCAGCAGCAGCAACAGCAGCAGCAGCAGCAGCAGCAAATGTGAGCGCCGAAGAATGGGCGAAGGCTGCGGGAGGTTTGAGTCGGCTGCTGCCCCGCAGCAAATGCCTCGGTGAGGCTCCTGCTGCTGCTGATGCTCCTGTTGGTGTTGCTGCTGCTGCTGCTGCTGCTCCTGCAGTGCGAACCCTTGTGGCTCGGCTGGCGGTTCTTGCAGCAGAAGCAGCAGCAGCTGAAGCAGCAGCAGCAGAGGCAGCAGCAGCAGAAGCAGCAAGTGTACCTATAGAAAAAGGAGAGGAAGCTGGGGGCCCCCCCACCTTCAGGACTTGGGCTTTGCTGCTGCATGCAGGCAGCAAACTTCTGCTGCCGCTGCCACCCGTCGTGATGGAGACCCTGCAGCAGCAGCTGCAACACCAACTGCAGCAGCAGCTGCAGCAGCAGGGGGCCCTTCTGCAGCGCTTAAGGGGCTTCCAGACCGCTGAATGCCTTCGCCCAGCAGCAGAAGCAGCCCCAGCAGCAGGAACAGCAGCAGCAGCAGCAGCAGCAGCAAATACAGGTGCAGCAGCAGCTGACATAGTGTGGGGCCCCACAGGTAGAGTTTGCCGTGATGTTTGCAGTCTGCTGCAGAGCCTTGCGAAGCTGCACGAGGGGTCGCTGCTGCTGCTGCTGCTTGCTGCTGCATACTCAACTCTCACCAACTATTTCTATGCTGCTGCAGCGCAACTGGCAGCTGCACCCTGCAGCAGCAGCAGCAGCAGCAGCAGCAGTCCCACCGACAGCAGCACCAGAAGCAGCAGCAGGGACGGCAGCAGCAGCGGCGACTGCAGCAGCAGCAGGGACAGCAGCAGCAAGCAGGCTGAGCTGCAGCAGGCAGCAGAATGGCTAGCAGCAGACGCTGCAACAGCAGCCTCTGCCCTCGCGGTAGCGATGGGTTTGCTGCATGGCAGCCCAGCAGCAGCACAAGCAGCAGCAGCAGCAGCAGCAGCAGCAGCACCAGTAGCAGCAACAACAGCAGCAGCAGTAGTGGTGCCGCTGCAGCAACTGTGGTGTTGTTTTTCTGCTGCAGTTGGCTCGCTGGCGGCTGCTGACCTGCTGCTGCTGCAGGGCCCCACAGCAGCAGCAAAAGGCCCAGCAGCAGCAGCAGCAGCAGCAGCAGGGATTTGTCCGGAGGTTTCGGTTTCTGGGGGCCGTCAGGCAGTTGCTGCTGTCCTTGCAGCAGCAGCAGCAGCAGCAGATGACCGTCTTGCAGCGGCAGCAGCAGCAGCAGACGGCTGTCTTGCTGCAGCAGCAGATAATGGAGGGGTTGGGGGCCCTCTTAACGCGGTGCTGCGGGCTCTGCCCCTGAAAGTGCTTCGCTATCTACAAACGAAGGTAGAAGCAGCCGCAGCTGCTGCTGCTGTTGTTGTTGCTGCTGCTGCTGCTGCTGACCTTCCTACAATCCTGCTGCTGCGCCTGAACCTCCTACAGTGCTGCTGCTGCTGCTGATGCTGCTGCCGAACCCACTGAAGTGCTGTTGGTGCTGCTGCTGCTACCTGTACTGCCGCCGCTAGTGCGGCTGCTAATGCACCTGCTGCTATTGTTGCTATTGCTGCTGCTGCTGCTGTTGCTCTTGCTGCTGTTAGGTGGAGTTGGCTGGGGCCCCTTCTGGGCGTTCTTCGCGTTTGGAGTGGGAGGTAAATGCTGCCTGTCTCTCTTTCTGTTTCATTTGCTTCTCTTTATATATATATATATATAAATATAAATATATATATATATATATATATATATATATGTCTT